CTTCTACTTTGTTGTGCCAGGTCCGCCAAGGTGCACATAACGTATTGTTTGTACTGAAGATATCTTCAAGTTCTTTACATATATTTTACAAGGAGATTCATATTAGCCCTAATGCAAGGGCAGAGGGGTACAATTGGTTCCTTGCCTGAAATGCTAGATTTTGACCATGGAAGTACATCAAGTGATGCTATAGATCAGCAGATTTGCTGGAATAGCACACGGAATCCTGCAGAAAATCGGATGCCAGACTATGTTCAATCGCCCGGTGATATGAATGTCGGGTTTGTGAATTCTATGGGACATGAACGACAGCACTTGAGCAGATGGTGCTTAGGTGAACCTAGTTCTAGCAACTCACAGACTGAGGTAAGCCGTGATGAGCGGAAACCAGAACTTGGATGGTCTTCTTCAGTGGATCCAAGTGCTGAAGCCGCTTCAAGGTTAGAGGAGCGGCGTTATGAACCAACTAATAACCTTTCACTGGACAACAATGTGAATACTATTTTTGCACAAAGTTCCAGTTCTGATGCAATTCCACAGAATCTGAACTTGAATGCAGGTTTTGCGGGTCATGGTGGTGATAATAGTCAAGTCATGGAATGTCCGAATACATACAAGTATAATGTATCTGAAAATGAGCAAATTCGACCTCCTAGTAGTTCTGATCCTTTTATGCTTCCTTCTGGAAGTGCTGGATTTTTAGTTGGAGAGAATGATGGCAGACCAGGTTGTTCATTGGAGGGTCGTCGTGTATCTTGTAAAAGAAAGGCTATTGAGGGAAATATAGGACAGTCTTCTGTAAGTGGAAGTTGTAGTTATTTTCAGCATACAGAAAGTGGTGGAAGGCCTTCTATTCCTGCTCACTATAATGCAGGCGGCAGCCTAAGCATATCTGCCCCTGCAGAACAGGGGAATCCAAGACTTGGGGCAGGAGGGAGAGAGCTCACTTCTGACAGCCTTCCTGATTCAAATGCTGGAAGAAGTTCAGAAGGCTCTCATAGGAACTTCCGTGTGAGAATCAACCCTTCAAATCAACAAAATTCTATACCCGCTGCTAGGTTCTCAACAGGGAGGGCTGTTAGGCATTCTGGTGTCTCGTCTTCCCAGCATTCACCAAGTCTTCTTCCAGTTGATCATAATATGGACCTGAGACCAGCACCAGCACTAGATAATATGAGTTCACAGAACCAGCCAGTTGTCATCCATGTTCCTGCTTTGCCACAAAATGTGCAATCATTAAGATGGAGTGGAGGAGGTTCTAGCTCAAGAACTGGCAGCTTATCCAATTCTGTGGTTTTTGGAGACAGGGATGCTCCACCGCGTGAAGAAGTGAACTCAAGAAGCATGGCAAGACACATTTTGGATCATCCTATTTTTGTACCAGCAACTGAATTGAGAAATTCCGCTCGGCATCCTGCAGGTGCATCCAATAGAAATTTAACCGGTGGAAATGCAAGTATTCCTGGAAATGTTGCTTCTTCATCCCGGACTGGCTCAAGTTCAAGTGTTCATCCAGCATCTGCACCTACGTGGGTTCCTCATCACAATTCGCATCCACAATTTCCTCGAAGATTATCTGAATATGTTCGTCGATCATTGTTTTCTGCTACTGGTAATGAGTCTGGGAGCCAGGGCACCAATTATTTGCCACTGCGTTCTGCTCCTGCATCATCAGCTGAGATAGGTAATTCATCTGGTGCTGGTAACCAGGGTCATCATCATTCTCACCCAAGGTCATCATCTTGGATGGAGAGACATGGTGATGGTGGACTTGGGGTTCCGTATTCGTTACGGACTTTGGCTGGTGCTGGCGAAGGAAGTAACAGGCTTGTATCTGAGGTATGTTTTAGAACTCTCTTTCTCTGGCCGTGAGTTTTTTCTTTCGAAATATATGTGTGTGTACATTATTTAAAGCATTCTGATGAATATCAGGAGTACTCACAATTGTTCTAATCACCTGTTGATTCTGTTACCATCAAATGTCTGATTATAATTATGACAGCAATGATGCATGGATTAAATAATCACCTGTTTGCCCCTAGTCATCAGTTTTCCCCCAGTCTTATCAAAATATTACTTGGTTCTGATATTGAATGTTATCAGATGGTGAAGATATATGCTTTTTCAACTTATTCAATTTGTTCAAGTTTTAGAAATCATAATATGGGGCATCAAGTTATTGAGAAATGTAAGTTCGTAGAACGGGACCTTCTTTCAACTGTTTCACATATAAGCTCAAAGCAATATAATATACATTCATATGGATTGTATCTCTTTTCAGGCAGATACATACGTGTCTGCATGTTTAGTCTCTTCATGAGTATTCATAATAAATGTAAATTTCTAATGTTCTCTTATCCAAGTCTTTTTGTTAGTCTAATACTTTGAAGTTCATATTATTTCACTAGTTATGGATGATCATCTAGAACTTATGAAGTTTTTCTTCTCTTTTCAGCAAATTTGCAATGTCTTGGGTCTCATGCGTAGGGGTGAGAGCTTGCGATTTGAGGTTAGAATTTTATTTGTGTATACATCAGTGTAATTACAGTGTAGATTTATTCTCTACACTGGTTTTGGAAGTTTAAGGGAATATATGTCTTGTCCTTGTGAATTTGGGAACTCAATGTATCTATTCTCTTGTATAAGAATATTATAACTAAATGCTGTTAACAGATGTGATAATTTCTTTTTGGGTGTTCTGACATTTGACTTATGCTTCTTTATATCAGGATGTTATGATTCTTGATCAGTCAGTTCTTTTTGGGGTGGCTGATATTCATGACCGGCATAGGGATATGCGACTTGATGTTGATAATATGTCTTACGAGGTAACTGATACTCCCCCACACAAAGAAAAAAAAAAACATTTGGTTCGGCATTGGTATAAATGAGATTACTAAGACAAAACAAACTTTATGATTAATGTAGGAGTTATTGGCTCTGGAAGAGCGCATCGGAAATGTGAGCACGGGATTAAGTGAAGAAACCATATCATTTCGCTTGAAACATAAGAAGTATATTGCAGTAGGATCTCAGGCAGAGACAGAGCCATGTTGTGTATGTCAGGTAATGACCGCACGTTGCTGCATCCCTGTGTTACATTACATGATGTTTTATATTGCTCGACTTATTTATACTGTTATATGCAGGAGGAATATAATGACGGAGAAGATCTTGGAATGCTTGAATGCGGACATGATTTCCACAGCGACTGCATAAAACAATGGCTGAAGCACAAGAATTTGTGCCCCATCTGTAAAACTACAGCCCTCGCAACATGAGTCGACGACATCAATGTTTTTGCAGGCTAGTTTTTCTTCAAATTAGGTTAAAAGAGGGGTTGCTTACGGAATCGGGCTGCCCATATGTTGGCTCACCGAGACCCAATGCCTCAATGCCTCCCCGTTCCGTGGTTGTCAAATTGAAGTTAGTCCAAAGAACTACTTCACCAAGAGTCGAAGCGGAAAATTGCTATTATTTTTTATTTTTATTTAAAACCAGGCCTCTTATTGGAGGCAGCAAATTTCAAAGTTGGAAAAGCAAAACTGGCACTGACTTTTCATTTTATCAATGAATGATTAGGTTTTTATGTTTTGTAATGGTTTGACACCATTTGTGCTGCAGATTTTTTCGTTACATCTCTCTAAGATTTCAAAATCTCATAGCCGTATTTGGAGGGCTTGATAGAAAACAAACTAGTATCAACATCTATGCTTCTCTTCTGAGCCTTTTCTTTGCAACTTCATGGTGCTGAAGCATATGATTGTTCCAAGTTTCTGTTCAAACTACGCAATGCAATAAGGTCTTTGATCAGTCTTCACTTCTAGGGTCCCCATTTTGATGTTTTACAGAAAATGTCAATGAAGCTCATCTTTTTGTCCTGTACTTGATGCATGAAGCTTCTTAGCTTTGAACAACTAAGGTAGCCAAAGCAGACCATGAAACAAGGCAGAAGCTTCAAACAAGTTCATGAATCAAAATGCTCATATCAGTCAATCAGTGGAAATTCTTCTCTGTTTCCTTTGTTAGTTTCTTGGGTCACTTTTAGGGTTGGAGGGTAGATTTCCTGTAAAGGAAAAAAGACGAGGCACAAGACGGAGACAGAAGAAGTAGGCCTTTGAAAATGAAATCGCGTGATGCAGAGCTAGTAGGAACACAATAACACGCCACCAAAAGGGCACCTCGGGAATTGCACTTTTTGTTCCCCTTCATAAATTCTTCCTTGGTTGGATAAGAGACGGTGATGAACGACATGATATGATGTGTTTGACTTTTAGCCCATTAGGACGCTGAACAACGTACATTTATTTATTTATTTTTATTGCAACTTGCAAGTAACAAAAATTATGAAATGCACACACGAAAAAAGTTTATTTGAATTTTTCCTATTGGGTTTTTTGTTTTTTTGACAAATTAACTGTAGCAAGTTAACAGCTCAGAGGGACCTAACTGAAATTTCCTAGAAAAACGTCGACAACAAAAAAATAGTTTGTTTGGCCATCCAGCTATAGCTCTTAAATTCGAGAAGAGATAACGTGTTGTGAGTCGTAATTACTAGTTATTAAATATCTTATCTTCCAATTTATTTATATTATTTTTATAGATTTCAAAAAAATAATTTAAATTTCATGAATGAATATCTCCAATAATCTTTATATTTTCATGTTCTTATATTTCATGATTATGATTTTGAAAATTCTTATCAGAAAATGAGTTCAATAATCGTTGAATGTACAAGTTTGCCCTACCTTAATAATAGTTTAGAATAAAGATCATGATTGGTGCGTCACACAACAATTTATTACGAAATCGATCCATTATGGTAAATAACAAAAAATAAAGGACGCAATCTGCAATATACCATAAACAATGGGAGCTTAAAAACAAAAGTAAATAAAACAATTAAATAAATGGGAATTTCTGAACAAGATACTGTATCTGAGAAATTGACAATTAGCGCGGGAGAATAATCAAATTGCGAGCTTTAGATGTTTAAAACCTTTGTTAAAGATTTAAGGACTGACTGCACAGAAAAAGAGAGAGAAAGAGAGAGAAGCCAAAGCCATCAAGAAAAAGTGGAGAGAAAGCAAAAGAGCGATGACGAAGCTAACAAACTAAGAACCTCCCCTCCTTCCTCCAGCTGAGTATCGATGACTGCACTTTGTTGAATTTCTCGTCCTCTTAGGTTTTTTCAACTATGGCGGATCTGTACGGGACAGCTCCAGACTCCGAAGAAATCTCGAACATTCTCAGCCAACTCCTCCACGGCCACGGCTCCTCCGCTTCCTCTTCCTCGTCTTGCATGCCCTTTAAGCCCACTTACACGCATCTACTGCATTCCTCAGTGGCGCCGCACCACGTTACGACGTCGTCCGAGGTCTTGATTTCGGAGACTAGGCACGAAGATTATCACCGGTTCGCCCGATCGGAGGACCGGCGAGTCGTGGACGGGAACTCCGCTGCTGCGGTTGTCGAGTCTTCATCCGGTTTCGATTTCACCGATTCCGGTGGCTATTTCCAGGCAGAGGTAAAAGAAGGTATGGAGTCTGATGCGAACACGTCCTTGAAGGGGAGGAGGATTTCGTCTGAGAATGATCTCGGTGACTTTAGCTATGATAGTGAGGTATTTCTTTGTTTTTTTCTTCTTTCTAAATTCTGTTTGGTTGCTAAGTAAATTAGGTAGAACATTTAAAGGAAGCAACTTTTGAATTCTGTTGCCGCACTTCTTTTTTGGCCCAATTACAAAGACAGTAAAAAGAGACAAAGATGGCATTTTTGTTGTCTTAGCTCTATTTGTATCAGTTTGTTCAACCTTAATTGGTGGAAATTTGAAACCTTTGGGGGCTTTTGGTGGAATTAGAAGGGTCACGACCGGTCAGAGGTGCCGTTGAACCCAGTTCCGCCACGTAGTTTATCCAAGAGGAGCAGAGCTGCAGAGGTCCATAATATGTCGGAAAAGGTTGGGTCTTTTCTCCTTGTGTAAAGGTTTAAGATTTGAGCATGTGACAAATGAAATTTTGATTGGTGGACAGAGAAGGAGGAGTAGGATCAATGAGAAAATGAAAGCCTTGCAGAACCTGATTCCAAATTCGAACAAGGTAACTCTTAAAAAAAAACTTCTACAGCCTTTTTTGTGCTTTATTTTTCAAATAATTTCATTGCTGTCTTGTTTTTGTTAGACGGATAAGGCTTCAATGCTGGATGAAGCAATTGAATATTTGAAGCAGCTCCAACTTCAAGTACAGGTGAGATCGTTTTCACTGTTTTGGGAATATAATTCTGATTAAGATTATCAGCAATTGGGATCTTTTGATATACCGCTGTCTAAATGCTGTCTAAATTCAAATATAAAATGGATTTTACTGATTGCTACTTTTGCTGCTTGGTGTGGCAATAAGATGCGACACAATTAAAGACAGAACTTTGCTCTGAAGTGGAACTGAGTGACAATTGGTTTGATTCTAGCTGACTTGGTTTAAAATGAACTAAAGTTTAAATTACTCTTGGTGAAGCACTTAATGTAAACCTGATTAAACTGTGCTGCTGCAGTAATTCTTAATAAACAGCAAATGTCCCAACGTTTCTTGTCTGGAAACTTGGTAGACTTCTCAAACTCAATGAAAAATTACATAAAATGTAGCTACATGTGGCGGGGGTTGCCGAAATAATCATATAAAATCTTGAGTAAAATAGATCAGGACCCTGTATAATATGCTATGTGGTATGCATTGTTATATTAACATTGTTCTGGCATCTTCGTTTGACAACATAAAGTGTTGCTTTCATCCACTGAAGAACCCATTATACTCATCTTCCGACCCATGATGAGCACCTATGTTCTCTGATGATGCACAATTTTATTTTCTACGTGAGGATGACAAAGTTTTTTAGTTTACATCTAACAGTAATTGGGATTCCTTTGGAAGATTTCTGGGATGCACAGCTAAATTAGGTTGTCTTGTGTATGAGACTGTTGCATGAAATGTTGTTTCTTTAAAATTTCCTTCATCACTCCCTCTTTCATAATGCTGAAAGAGTCTTGGAAGGAAATTTATTTAGTATTCTAAAGCTGATATACTTTTTGCTTCTGATTATATTTACAGATGTTAACAATGAAAAATGGATTGAGCTTGCATCCAATGTGCTTACCAGGAGTCATGCAGCCTATGCAGTTGCCTCATATGGGATTAGGCCTTGAAGAAGGAAGTAATAAATTTCCAAAATCTAGCAGAGGAATAAGTCCATTTTATGAGAATGAAGAGAATCCGATGCAATCTGCGTTTAATATTTCCCCTGGATGCGCAATCTCAAACCAGCCAATGGTCTTACCTTCAGTTGCAAATGTCCCCACTTCGGAAGCCACATTTGGGTTTGAACCATCGATTCAAGCTCTCTACAGGCCCTTCAGTGTCCCCTCATCTTCTAAGGTAACTCTAGCATGAATGGCAGAAGTAATATATTAGAATTTGGGGAACTAACACTGTTCGTTTTCTTGCCATGTGAAGGAACTCTTCAGAGACGGTGAACCACGAGCAAAATTAGATACCAGCGAGACTGGGAAGAACTCTTCATCACATGTCGACATATTGTCCACAAAGCGGCCGGATGTATGACATTGCGGCCTGTTTTCATACAGTTCTTTTCTTCAACCAAGAAACAACCATGGTCCTTCAAACTGCTGACTTTTTCAAACTTGATCAGGTTACATATTTCATATTTTTCTAGTGTAACAGATCGACACAATTGTGGGATTTGTACTGTTGATTCTTCTTAACTTGTATAAAAATACTCACCAGTCTTGGTATTTGCCATTTATAAAGCCATGGTCTTTTGTAGCTTTGGATGGATATCTCAAATCTCAATTGCAGTCCTTCGTGATTTTTATTTTATTTTTTCCAAAAAACCTTAATTATATACGGTGGCATATGACCTATTATCAGAAATGCCAGTGTTTGAGAATTCGGGTAAGGCATCAAATGGGGACAAGGCTGATGAGTAGCGATAGCGTTACAGGTAAAGAAGAAAGCGTTTTCTATGGAAGATCAGAAGAGTTTGTCTCATTCTCTGCAATGAGACAATATATGAGAAGGATGGGATGCTTTTCTTTGGCTGCAGTTTTGGTGTCAGAATTCTCTACCCTTTTGATACACCTATGACCTATATGTCATAACGGCCGTTTCATGCCAACTGCAATTTATTCGTCCTCCAACTTCACCGCAATTTACCAACATGCCACTGGGGGAGATGGTTCATGTCTTCTATTTTTATTTTCTCAAATACCTTGTTGAGTTTTCACTCATGTGAGCTTAGGCAGATTATGATAATAACATTGAAGTTGCAAGTGTCCATTAAATTTTGTAACGAAGTGAATTACATGATTATAGGTAATCTTATATTAGTATTTCTCTTTCTAATGTTAAAAAAGGTTCAAAGTTCGAATTCATCATTTTTCATTGATCCAGAAAACGAATAAAATACTAATTAAGACCTAACTCATGAATTATGTTTTAATCTGAAATGTCTAAAGAATAGTATTGCCTTAAATAATGAATTGTGTTTATTTTAATTGGGAAGTTGATATCTAACCTAATTGAAATGCTTGAAACCAACCAAGGTGGTTGGTGTGAGTGGTTCGGCACTCTCATTCCTTAAGAGAAGGTCAGGGGTTCGATCCCTGCTCTCGTATGGAGTCACCACTTTGGCCAGCACTTTACCCCTTACGGGCCGACCCGGTGTGAGCGGGGATTAGTCTGGGTTGTGGTTAAGGCTTAAAGGTGCCACCCATAGTTGGGGCCCATCCAGGACCACCTCGTGGTTCAAACCAAAAAAATGCTTGAAACCGGAAAAAAGAAAAATATATTGATTATAGCCTTTTATTAGTCCTATTCTACACTGGACTTCCATTGTCTGTCAACTTCTATTCTATAAAAATGTACAAAATTAGCACCAAAAAAATATAACTCTCTAAAATAGTCTAATAGGCAAACCATTGATCTATGATTAGGATTTCATTATATTTTTTAATTGGCAACCGAAAAAAAATTGATGTACCCGCTGAGACTTTGAGAGTGAGACACTAACCAAAAAAAAGGAAACGGGGAGGGAGGGATGGTGATTCGGTAATAAAAGGCGGGAAGGAGGGTGAATAAGTAAATTAAAGTGAAGGCCGGAGGGCCCGGCTTAAGAACAAGTCTCTAAAATTAGCTTCCGTTTTTTGTTTGGACGCCAAAATAACGGCATTCGTCTCTCGATTGTATTTTGTTGTGTAGCCCAAAATCCTAATCATAATCCTCAAAGCTCAACAAAAAGCCTACCATCACCACCTTTGTCACCTTCCACCTGTTTGTGAAAACGTCCCATTCAACTTTTAAACCAAGTCCTTTATATATTTTCTCAATTCTGAAACTGCCACCTTTTCCCCCTATCTATAAGATCATTTAGCCAATACCCAATGTCTTGCTTACAGCAAAACTCTGTTTTGGGATCTCCCATTTCCAATTTAGGCACTTGTGGTGGTGGAGAGTTGTTGAAGCTAGAAAAGATGGGGGTGAATGTGAACTCATATCTTAATTCAATCTCTGCATTAATGGAGAAAGGAATGATCAAAGAAAGTGGTGGCAAGGCTGCAAGTGGTGGTGGTAATGAATCAGAGCATGGCATGCACACTTGGACTGAGAGGGAAAGAAGGAAGAAGATGAGGGACATGTTCTCTAGCCTACATGCTCTGCTTCCTCAGCTTCCAGCTAAGGCATGTAATCTTCAAACTCAAAGTTTCTTTTGGATCATATAAATGCAAGTCTAAATATATATGTTATGTTTCAATGATGTGTATGCAGGCAGATAAGTCCACCATTGTTGATGAGGCAGTGAGATATATCAAGTCCCTGGAAAAAACTCTTCAAACAAAACAAAAACAAAAGCTTGACAAACTCCAGAGGCAGAGCACTAGTGCATTGATAGCATCAAACACAGAGCTAGCTGGTGAGACAAGGGAAGCGTTTTTGGCTGATCATCTACATCCATCAAAGAACTTGATGGTCACAAATGCATTCCCACCTTCTCTTTCTCCCGCTTGCTTCGAGACGTGGTTTTCGCCAACTGTTGTCGTGAACATTTGCGGCCCTGATGCTCAGTTCAGTGTTTGTTCGCCGAGAAAGCCAGGGCTCTTGACAACCATCTTGTACATTCTAGAGAAGCATGAACTGGATGTAGTCTCTGCTCACATCTCCTCGGATCAATATCGTTGCATGTACATGATCCATGCTCATGTAAGTCTAAGAATTCATGCTTAATTAGTAACCCAAAATATTACTTTTAATTATAATGATCACTTGATTAATTAATCTGCTGGCTTTATACTCTTCTTTCTGAATCAGGCTGGTGGAACTTGTGATCATTTCCCTGAGGCATTATCAGTGGAGGACACATTCAAACTAGCAGCAGGTGAAATAAATTTGTGGCTCTTGTCCTGTTGAACATACTTGATATATATTGTAGAAAATTGCTTTCACTTGTGTACCTTTGGTCAACTGTTCTGAATGATCATGCTGGTGTTTTTGGACCATGAGCCGTGTGTATAAGCCCAATGGGCTAATTGTTCTGTTTGTTTTGGGCCTTGTGACCTCTCCATTATCAAAAAATTGAGTTTACTCGATGAACCCAATTAGCTCAAATTAAGTATGTTTAGTGCAGAGATTGGGACTAAATCCAATCCACCTCAGAAACTCATACGTGTCCCTACTATATGACTGCTGGCAGCAGCTGCCACTAGACTTCCCCTTGAACAAATGGCACATTCACATGGATGCTACACTGTTTAGTCACATCAACATGTTCATTTTTTGTTTTTTGTTTTCCAATCAAGGATGGGGAAAAAAAAAAAAAACTTGCGCACACGCTCGCTTTAGAATGAGATGGCAATGGCATCAAACTTAAGATGTGCCACTCACCAAAAACAGAAAAGAAAAAAAAAAGTGCCAATCATTTACTTCCAAACCTAACTTTGATGACTTATGGTGCATGAAAAATGTTGACAAATGCTAAACAACGACCTCAGAGAATGACAGAAAATATTAACATTGCGAAAATATTTTGGAAAAAATTGATTTAAAAAGCATGTCTGTAATTCACTTAACTTCTTCATTTTTTACCACTTAACAGTAGAGGGAGTCGAATATGCAATGGGGGAATCATAATTCTTACCAATTACCCTAACCCTAACCCTGACCCATTCACATTTCTAACCTCACTCCCTTCCAACAGAAGAAGAAGAAGAAAAAGAAAAGAACAAAATCTCAAATTCTTGTGGGAAAATTGAGATTCTCTAGCACAAGAGCAAGATCTTCCGCCAGCTACCGGCCTCTTTGGTCTTCGAGTCCACTTTACACAACACTAGTGTCCAGATAAGAGATGGAAAACAATGCAATCCTAATCCCAATGACACATAACTCAGGCTCAATTAAAATATAATTAAGTAAAAACTTAATTTAAAAGGTCTCTTATTTATAATATCCTGCACGGCCAGCCAGAGTCAAACACAAAATCCAACATTGGAAGAAAAGCAACTAAAAGCTTGAATTTAATAGTAAGGAATCAAATTCTGCCGTCCCTTAAATTTATAAAGCACCACCTCTCGTTCTTTCTTTCAATAATCATTTTCTTCCCTGGCCACGGATTTCCTAATTCTTTCCTCAAGCATTATAAGAAGGATCGTATACCAGACAAGACTTAAGGCCCCATTAACAAAACTAGAATCTTTGGATAGAAAACCAGTCAGCACCATATCCAAAGAGCAATAAGTCGACAGCCCACAACAAAATAATTATAATCATTGGGAATTAAAAAATCATAGTTAATAGAGTATCCCAACTTTGTTAGAATAACTAAACAAATTCTATAGTCGAAGCATATGGTACAACTACAACTAGTTTATTTACCTTTTAAATTGACGAGTTTAGAATGAATCTGTGTGCATAAGATATAGTGTTTTTTTTCTAGTAATTTATAATCCTGAATACATGTGGATCTCGTAAAAAAGGCCGCATAATATTTAGGGAGACTTTGTAAAAAGACAAAGGAGAGATAAATTTTTTAAAAGAAGTCAAAATAGACAAAATTGCCCTTATTTATTAGGAGGTTTCACTAAAATACCCAAAATGGGAGCTGAAATTATAAAAAAATTCAACACCCAAAATACTTTATAAACACACTCAAAACCCATCATTACACAAACCCATTTATAAGCACACCCAAAAAATATACAATTGTTGATTTTGGGGTTGAGTTTGGGTGTGTTTCTATGTTTAAATAATGTTAGAATTTTTTTATAAATACATGTCTAGGATTGGATTTATTTATAAATTTATATATTTATTACAACAGACTGCCGATAGCTAGGTACATTGTTATGTTAACACGTTACATGTTTTGGATGAAGTCAAAATAGGATAAAAATGGAGAGCACAATAGTTAATACAAGTTAGACCAGAAATAGATACCATAATTACGCGCACAGAGATTTACACTTGTACATGAGCATAAGAAGAAGGTTAGTGGAGGTGGAGTATTCTCATCATGATTTGTGCTGGCTCCTCTCTCCTCTCTCTCTCTCAACCCCACTCAGTCTGAGCTCAGCAGCCCAATTTCTCAATTTCTCAATTTCTCTCATGTATAAAGTCCCCACTGTCACTTGAATACTCTCCCTTTGTCTGACTCTCTGTCTCCATTCTAAGCATTCTTCTTTTTTCTTTTTTCTCATTCTTCTTCTTACTTTTTCTCCTTCTTCATGTGAAGAAGAAGAAGAAGTGACTAGTACAATGTCTGGGTACTCATTTCTGAACGACCAGCTCTCAAAGCGGACCTCCATTTTCGGTTTGCACTTGTGGGTTGTTCTGGGAATTTGTGTAGGAGCAGCCATTGTTCTGGTTCTCTTCCTCATATCACTCTGGTTCACTTCACGGCGCAACAGTAGTTCCTCGAAAGCCAAGACCTTTAATCAGAATTCAACCATCCCGAACGTCTCTAAGGAGATCCAAGAAATCCGAATCGACCATGCTCGGAACCCAGTACCCGACCCGAATCCCATCCAGCACCAGAACCACCCCGACCCGGTTGCTGACTCGGAGCCCTTGGCCAGAGCCCAAGCCCTGCTTCTTCAGCCGGAGGATCATGAGAGCCCCGCTGGGGGTGGTGGCCGACAAAGAATTCACATTGAGATTGGGAAGGACCATCGGATTTCGTACCCGGAGAAGGGAGGCGGGTCCTCGCATGGAAGTGGTGAGGCTCGTTCTGGGGACCAGGGGCTGATGGCTGTGCCTGAAGTTTCGCATTTGGGTTGGGGCCATTGGTACACTCTCAGAGAGCTTGAGGATGCTACTAATGGGTTTGCTGATGAGAATGTGATTGGTGAAGGTGGCTATGGAATTGTGTACCGTGGTATCTTTGAGGATAATCATATGGTTGCTGTCAAGAATTTGCTCAATAACAAGTATGTAAATTTCGCTTCTTTATGGTGTAGTTAGTGTTTTGCAGAGTTTATTTTGAACTTTTGCTATGGATTGTACTAGTTCTAGGTAATTCGAGATTAGTATCATGTTCACCGTGAACCCAATTGGGAAATTTGAGACCTTAGCTTGGGCAGTGAACTAAATTTGTTAGATTTTCATGCATTTGGGCAAAATATACTATTTATGTTCCAGCTGCTGCATGACCTTTGTATTGGGGAGTTGGCCATGAGAAAGCTTAATGGCTTAGTTGGCTTGGTTCAGGGGACAAGCTGAGAAGGAGTTTAAGGTCGAAGTTGAAGCAATTGGCCGTGTTCGCCATAAGAATTTAGTAAGGTTGCTTGGTTATTGTGCTGAAGGAGCTCATAGGTAATTTTACCTTCATTGTTATAAAGTATATTCTTTCCATCTTTTGTTTAATGCAAGACCTTCTGTTGATGGCTAATTTGTTAAAAATCTTTCTGATGATTTCTTCTTTATGGATTAAGTATAATATGATTTCCTGAAATGATTGCGCTAATAAACGTGAGTTTTTATAGGATGCTTGTATATGAGTATGTTGACAATGGAAATTTGGAACAATGGCTTCATGGAGACGTTGGGCCAACCAGCCCTCTTACGTGGGAAATTCGTATGAATATAATACTTGGGACAGCGAAAGGGTATTCCTTGAGTTGAATGACCTCAGTTGTTTTTGAATCTTTGTTGTTTATTGTAACTAAAACTTTGCGAACATTATAGGTTGACATACTTGCATGAGGGGCTTGAGCCCAAGGTCGTTCACCGTGATATAAAGTCTAGCAACATCTTACTTGATAAGCAGTGGAATTCAAAAGTATCTGACTTTGGCTTAGCAAAGCTCCTGGGCTCAGAAAGGAGTTATGTGACAACTCGTGTGATGGGAACATTCGGGTGAGTTTAACCTCCCTACTTGCCTATTACTTGCTTCGTATCTGGGGAGTCATGATCTTGTTCTTGCAAAACTGAATCACATCTTTGGTTTTGTTTTGTAGATATGTAGCTCCAGAATATGCTAGTACTGGTATGTTGAATGAAAGAAGTGATGTTTATAGTTTCGGAATTCTCATAATGGAGATAATTTCTGGGAGAAACCCAGTGGACTATAGCCGCCCTCAAGGAGAGGTTTGTTTTCATGATCAAGATTACTTGATAACATTGGCTTCCAACCAGAATAACTGGTACTGATTGGTGATCAAACTTCAGGTGAACCTAGTTGAGTGGCTTAAAGCAATGGTTACAAATCGAACTGCTGAGGGAGTTTTGGATCCTAGGTTACCAGAGAAACCTTCTTCAAGGGCACTGAAGCGTGCTCTTTTGGTTGCCTTGCGTTGTGTGGACCCGAATGCTCAAAAGAGGCCAAAAATGGGGCATGTGGTACATATGCTTGAAGCCGATGAGTTCCCTTTCCGAGATGTAAGTTTGCATTCATTTCTTCCCCAAATTAATCTTGCCAGCTAGATGTCTATTTCCTAGCTGATTTATGAAGCGGAACCTTGTTTGAAACTGCTGTCTAAGTGTTTCGTTATTTGTCTTCATGGACTTGCATTCTGCAACTACCAACAACCTTTTATCTATTTCTTTAGCTAAAAATACAAGCATTTCTATATGATTAAGGATTGGCATGGAATTTAGATTTCACATTAGTTGCATGGGTGCTGCATTTCTTTTACCTAGATCCAGTGTTTTAAGAAATTGTCGATTTGATATAATGTGCAAATCTTTGAGATAAATAATTGGAGTCCCCTAGATCTTGTTATCGCAAATGGGCCAAAAATATATATGGTTTCATCTTAAATTTTGGTTTGTGCTTTGTGTGTAAGCAACTCATGTTACATAAGATTATTACGAATTGATAGGTCTATAGTCTCCACGTGAGATTTTTTACTGTTAATTGATCTAATTGTATTTAAAGAACTTTTATAGGAGAATGAGGTTTGCCCTATTCTTATTTTTCACATGAAAGCATGTAAAACAAAGTTTAACTGCATGGATTTTATTTCTCATCCATGATTAATTTTTCTGCGAATAATTTCAGGACCGCAGGGCTGGAAGAGAATATGGACGGTCACCGCATGATGCTTCAAGGATGGACAAGCGCGTGATTGAATCAGGTGATAGTAGTGGGTATGAGAGTGGTGCCCAAACTAACCAGTCATTATGGAGAAAGCGAGAATTGGAAGAAGAGCATTAGCCTCACCAGTCACCAGTTTCACAAGTAAGGTGAATTGACTCACCTTGTTTTGCCCCTATGCTTCTGTCTAGGGATAGGTTAAATTATGTAGCTGTTAATTACTTCCCCTGTATAGCCATTCATGTCAATATGAGCTTGCACTTCGGTGGATTCTCTAGCATTTCGTTCCTTCCTCTCAATGTAATTGAAATAAACCAGATTAGTGTTTTTCACTCCACCGGCTCTTCTATGGTAATTCGGTCCTAAGGGGATTTTCATAAATAGTAATTCTCGAATCATCGCAATCCTATGGCCTTAAATTTGTTTGATATTTTAACATGAACCGATTTTTTCATTGAATAGGTAAGTTGTAAATTCTGATTATTGAAGTTTTTGACTGACAAAGAACAACATGCAGGCATTGTTACTAAGGTATTTCAGTTAAGAGGCAATATCAACAGCATTCATGCTAGGTTTAGGTTTACTTAAAATAACTTAGGTCCTACAAATTCACAAGAGTTTGTATTGCGTTCTGTCACAGGCTTTAAGGGTGTGGGGTTTGTTTTTGCTGCAGAAGAAACCTTGACAGCTATGAATGTTGTATGCATAAATCATAAAGGTGTACACCCTTTGGACCCCATAATTATGCTTTATGCCGGTTTGGTTTGGTGTTAATGTAAAAGTCATCAGAGGGACCTTCTCTTTCTGTTTTTTTTCCGAAGGGGGCTTTTTGTTCTTTGTTCAGTAGGCCCCACACCAAAAGCGTTGTTGGTGGTTTTGCATTTTGTTTTCTTTTTGTTTCGCTTTTAGACTGAAAATCTGTGGTATTTGACGTGTCGCTTAAACAGAAAAATGCAGATAGTAAAGAGAAACAGCACATTAAAAAAAAGGACTTGTCTTCCATGGGGCTCTACCTCTCGCAGCTGTACATTGTCGCCTGGTAACCAATTTTTGATGAAATGACATATGTGCCCATATGCCAACGCCTTCCTAAGTTTTGGAAAATTTCATAATATTTTTGTTTATAAATTATAATTAATATTTGTTGATTTTATGAATTTTCAGGTTTTTTCTTTTTACTGAAAAGAATAATTTAAGATAGTATCATTAGCTCGCATGATTTATGCGTTTGACTGTCAGAGACCACCGACACGGCAAATCGGGGAGAAAGTAACTAAAGGCAACGACTGCCCGCGAAGGTTGAATGTCTCTGAACGAAACATCGTATGACAAAAAAGAGCAAGCCTTGCCTTTAATTATAGGCTACTGTTACTTTAGAAAAGGAAAAGATTGAAGCTTTTTCATGGTATTATTCAAGAAGAAAAAAGATATTCTACAAGAATATAATTTCTCTTCCTTCTTTGGATGGATCAACAAAAGAAAAACAAAGAAGCTGAATAATTGATATGCTCTTCGTATATTTAGAATCTAACTACCCAGAAATCTTGTGTTCGCACCACTTTATTCAAAGGATAAATAAGAATAGAAATGAGTCAGGAAACAATATGAGATTCCACATTTTTCTTCTCTATATTTATCTTGACTACTCTCTGTTTCTCTTCGTTCAAAGACTGCCAAAGAGTAGCAGTTTAACAACTGGAAGATGCTATGAAGTTCAATTGTTTTTCCTTCTATGCATGAATATGCTGATAGTATCATGAACTCTAGTAATTAATGACCACTACAGGGCTTGACACTATGTGGTTCTGTTGATCAATCCATTTGAGATAACCATAGGTCACCTTAGGAGCATTGTTATCGATTTCAACCCTCAAAACAAAACCTTGCTCCTGATTTTTCCCAGTGAATGTTAGACTACTAGGCTCTACTGCAATCTTCATTCCACTAGGAACTTCCAAAAATGCTTTGTAAATCGATGTGCCGTCTCCCACGTTTGTCACAACCCTGCTAAAGTTTTTGGCTTTCGGAGAACCGTCTGTGCCATTAAAGATGGCTATAAAAGAAGGGTAGTTCAGTTCAGTAGGCTGTTGGCGGCAGCTCCATTGACTTCGCCTGATAACAGCACTCATTTGCTTAGCAGTGTATCCAAGACCACATAGAAACTCAATGTAATCTTGCACATCCATGTCATAGACGAGTCCAGGGTTCATGGCTTTGTTTGGGTTGATGTGGCCTGCACCAAATTCCAAAGGTGTGGCTGGAAGACCACCCCATTGGTCTTTTATGGTGGTCTTAGTATTGTCGAGGGAGTATGCTGTGGTCATGATCGCTGATCGAATGGCTGCTGGGCTCCATTCGCGGTGAACAGCCTTTAGAAGAGCAGCCACTCCAGCAACATGGGGTGCTGCCATTGATGTCCCTGACATCAGTTGATAATCTGACGCCAGATTATAGTTGTTTACTTCTATGAACAACCTGTTAGGTGCAACTGCAGCCAGCACGTCAACCCCTGGAGCAAGAATGTCTGGTTTTAGAATGCCTGGAGTGATCGGGTCCGGTCCTCTTGAAGAGAAGAATGCTACTTGTGGTGCTGGTTTTATCCCCAAATTGGTGTGCACAAAGGTCAAGGTCTTAACTTTTGTTGTATTGGCCTGGGTTGCATACTCTCTAATCAAAGCCCCAGTAGAAACTGGCACAATTAGAGCAGGAAAGACATAGTCTTGTGGGTCTAAAAGTGACATATCTGTCATGAAGATTCCAGCATAAGCACCTGCACTCCGAACCTCTTCCATTTGTCCATCAACATCTGTCTTCATGGTGTTATCACAGAGGACTACCTTTCCAGCAACTTCTTTAGGATCCAATGCCCCATAGTAGCATATTGCTTTGCTTGCATTGTCTTTCCCGTAGTACAATGGTTTATCAGAAATGTAAACGCTTTCTGGGAAGTATGATTCTCCTTCCACTGTCAAGCCGTTGTCTAGAGTCAATGTTGCAGTGAAACTACGATCAAGCGTGCCAGCTCCTACTGTTGTGATCCAGGGTGCTCCATTGTATGTTGAATTTTCAGCCCAACCATCATTCCCAGCTGCGCAGACAACAACAATCCCCTTCTCAATTGCTGAAAGAGCACCAATGGCGATGATATCATTGTAGTAAGGAAGGAAGTCAAAGCCAAGAGACAGTGACATGATATCAACCCCATCAGAAATTGCCTGGTCCATCCCAGCAAGCACATCACTAGCTGCACTCTTTTCTGAATCTGATGCCCACAAGGCCTTGTACATGGCAACATGTGAGCGCGGTGCCACCCCTCGTGCTGTGCCTTTTGCATATCCAAAATGACTTGCACTGAGTACATGATTGCCTGCAGCTGTTGATGATGTGTGGGTTCCATGACCAAGGAAGTCTCTTGGCGAGTCATAGTCATATTCTTTGGAGATGCTTATTCCTGCAGCTTCAAGCCCTTTGCTAAAAGATCGAGCGCCAATGAGTTTCTTGTTGCAGAGAGATGGGGTGAATGCTGTTCCGTTTTCACACGCGCCTTTCCATCTTTCTGGCACTTCTGACATTCCCTTGTCACCAAAACTTTCACTCTCTGGCCAAATTCCTGAATCAATGATCCCTATGATCACATCTTGGCCATATGAGGCAGCAGGCCATAAGCCAAGATTTTGTCTGAGTCCAAGAAACTTGGGGCTGTGTGTTGTGAACATCTTGCCAAAAGATTCCGGATATGTGGCAACATGAGCTGAAGAACTCTCCAATTTAGACAGCTGAGAGGGTGTGAGCCTGGCACTGAATCCATGCATGACATGGCTGTATGAGTAGAGCAACATTTCACTGTCGTCACGATCTGCAGGAGATGTCGACGACAATGATTTTAAGGTGGACCTGTGCCATGCCTCGTGCGTCAAGAAATATGCAGGCTTGTGAGAATGGTCCATATGAATTATGTATGTCTGGTATTCCTCAGCATTTGATGCTGCATTGGTTATTTGCAGCAACATTAACAGTAAAATACTGATCACATTGTACAAACCCATCTTTCTAGTTATGAGTCTTATGGCAGAGGAGATGGAGGGATTTTTGAGCTTTATAGGACCCATGTTGTGTTGCTTGTTGGATGATGTTGACATTCTTTGTTTCATTGCAGAGAACGTTATGTTCAATGTCCATGTTTAATTAATAAAACTTTCTGGTCGATTTTCCATATGTCAAGTTCTTGACTGTGAATGATATTGGATTTTGTTTGGTTTCTTGTGTTTGCATTGAAAGGGTAAATAGTCCACTGCATTAGCCGAAACAAAACGCGCACTATAGGTTGCTATTTAGATAAATTGGATTGTCCTCCTTGTCTGGCTTCTTGTTGGCCTGGATTTTCGTCCTCCTTGTCTGGCTTCTTGTTGGCCTGGATTTTCTTTTCTGACTTTTTCCTTTCTTTGAACTCTAATCTTTAGGAGTTCTCATCACTCTGTTAAAAGTTAAAACCAATCTGCATGCCAAGTCAAGCCACCCAGAAGTTGTTCTTTTTTATGCCTTTTGTTTTCATTTCAGATATCCATTCACAATACCAAAGTGGTATATGTCGCCTAAAAATAACTTATTTTGTAGATTACGGGTCCAGATGACATTAACTGGGTTTGCAGGCATGCTCCAGCTTTTTCACATTGAATATGTAAAATTTCAAATGCAACCAAAAGCTGAAATTTACTAGTAAGTTCTTATCCCTTTCCTATTATTCTAGGTTCAAAGTTCATGATCCAAAACATAAAAGAGTTGTGCCTTGCAATTGGGCAATGCCTTTATTGGATTCATATCCATCGGGTTAACCAAGACAAGGAGGAAGACAGAGAGAGCATGAAAAACAAACATGCTTGCTTTGAGGTTGGCAAGCAACTGAAACTTGATTTCTGATGGTAAAATTTATTTAAAGAATTTATCACTTACACGTACGCACGTATCTTTTAATAATACATCCGTATTATGTACACGTCTTAAAGACTTTGTAAAATTCACATTTTAAAAAAAAAAACAAAAAAAACAAAAAAACAAAAAAACAAGCAAACGTACAATATTCATATTGTATATGTATGTACATATATATATATATATATTTTTATATGAAATAGTATAGCCGCCCGGCTAGGTTGGTCTTTTTTTTATAATTTAATAAATAGTATAGCCGAACGGCTATACCTTAATTTCGTTTAAAAATAGTATAGCCGGACGGCTGTACCGTGATTTTTAATTTTTTTAATAAATAGTATAGCCGAGCGGCTATACTCTTTATTTACATAATGGGATCCTTTTTTTCTTTTAAATTTTTTCCCCAATTTTCGTTAATCGTTGAGAGTAATTTAGAGTATTATCTAAGTCTCTATTGTACCATTTTGATTTTTTAATTTTTCATAGTTATTACCAGTATAAAGAATTTATCATTGTCACGTTTAATATTGTATTATACACATATGCATGTATTTTTCAATAATACATTCGTGTTCTGTACACAACTTAAAGACTCAGTAAAATTCACGTACAATACTTGTGTTGTACATATATGTAAATATTTTTTTTGTTTAATACACATATTTTATATATATATATAATTTTCAATAATACATATAAAATTCAAGTATTATACACATAGGGTATGTTTGATAGGTCTCACTAGACTGAACTGGATTAAAAAGCACTTGAAAACCATATTTAGTACGAAGGAGGACTATCTTAAATGGAATTGTAGATTCCAACAGTTAAAAAAAAACCTCACTCGCTCTTCCCATTTAGCGAGGCTGAAACGTGTTTCGCAAATTAGCGAGTTCGCTAAATAGAACACGGCGAGTCCTCCAACACCAACAACCTTCAACGCCTCTCTCTCGTTTCGTTCAACATCGACTCCTGCTCTTCTTCCAAGCTATACTCAGGTAAGTTTTTTTGGTCTCTCCCTTTGCATTACAATTGAGGTAGGGCTTGCGGTTGCAGAGAAATAGAGAAAGAGGTGAACCAAAATATATTATTGGGTTAGGGCCTTTCAGCGACAACTATATCTTTTGGGTGGCTTCAGGCTCTGCCATCGCCGTAGAGATTGAAAGGAGGTTTGGGTAAGTATTTGGTTCTAGCTATCAGCTAAATGAATTTGAATTTTGAGTCTTAGCCCCAAGATATTGGGGCTCATTTGTATCTGCCATTGCAAGAGCCATGTCAAAGTCAGGTCTTGCGATACCAAATCCGTGGAATGCCAAATCTTCTTCTGTTAATTATTGGTGTACATTAGTTTGATTATGGGGTTTCCAGGTGTGGCTAGACGATGTGGGTGGCAACACTTGGATGTGCCTGCTTGGTTTGGTAATCTCGGTGGCAACACTTGGCTATCATTTTACAAATTTCATTTTGGAGCAGAGGTATGGGAAAAGGCCTGAAGATGAGCTGCCAAGTCCTGTAATTTTCTGCCTTCTTCTCTTTGTGGGTTGTTTGTAATTGAATGATTTTTCGTCAAATTGCATGCTGATTTTGTTTTTTTTAAACATGTATGTATTGATGATTGTTC